AGGTGGAGGAGCATATCCGGAGATACATGTTGCACAAGATTCACTTGGAATGGGGATAAAACACAAGGAAATCACAACCGATGCGTTTGTAATACTTGCTGCAAAGGTAGTTAGAAAAATTTGATGCCCAATATACCTCAATATATATGAAAGAGATAATACTGATATATAATAAGAAATGTATGTAACTTGATTTCTTTGATTAAATGAAGTTGTTTTTGATTTTAGGATTCTCCAATCCCTTGGATTAAACATCTTGCTGCAGATGATAGACGTTTGCAGGAAGTACAAAAAGTTAAAGAAGACTTTGCAGAATTAGCTGAGAGTGTTTGTATTGCTCATAGAAAAATCCGAGAAGGTAAAGAAATGTATGCAAAATTTAAGAAAAAGATGGCTCAAAGAAGGAGGCTCATTTGAGACATCTCGACTAAAAGGCCCGAAAAGCGCGACATTAGGTTTGTATAATTGCATCTGATTTCTGATGATTGTAATAATAAAGAAGTATATTTGATGTGTAAGAAAAAAATTTTAATTAAGAAAAAATATTTTATAAAAAATCAAATAAAATAACATACGAGCAACGATTTATGGCCAATTTCTTATTTAAGGGTCTCTACTCTTGAACACACAGTTCTCCTATCGAAAAGTCCCTATCGATTAGCCAATCGACATATTTGACAATCTTGCTGTTTCTGCATTACTCGCGCGACTTTCTATGTACTTTTGATTCCGTGGCGAGAATATACGGACGTGATAGGTGATAGCAGAATTATATTTCGACGAAATCGTATTATCGCGAAGCTCAAATTGTTCTAAAACGGTAAAATCTGCGACACGGCATGGTGATCAGTGCTTACAGATGAAACTCGAAGATAGTTTTCCTTAAAAATGGTAAGTTCACAGGCTTATTTTGATATGTGCTATTTCGATATTTCGCCTATAAAGATAACCTCACATAAGGGACGGAAAATTACGTGCGCATGAAAAAGAGGGAAAACTTCGAAAAAACCTCGAGATACGGAGCGATTTCGGATTTTTTTTGCGTCATCGCGCAGTTTTCCGACTCGTTTCGTGAGAAAAATTCGCAGCCCTTGCACGTTTTTACTAGGAGAGAAACTTGTCATATGGTAGCATGTCGTGCTGTGTATTTCATTTCTTTCTGTTCTGTTTAATTCAAAAGCGTTTCTGTGCGTGCGACTTCGGTTTGTCAACCCTGTCGATTTGGCATGCGTAGAATATAAACGATGTTTTCAACAAATTTCTTTTTGTACAAGAAGATGCAAGTCACGAAGATAACCGTTGACGTAGATAGAGAAAAGGATAATATTTTTTTATAATAGATTCATGTCACACACCGTGTATCTCAAGCTATATGATACATTTGTATAATCTATAAAGGATAAAGTGTCATCTTTAATTCTGTGTATGTGCCATGTCACAAATTTGCTATTCTAATTATATCGTATAGCATCCATTTACAGGATTAAAGAAGATTTTAGCAAAGCTGATTAAATGATATATTGACAATGTGCCATAAATAGAATGGTTTAGTATTACACATGGCATTATAACTTTCAATTTTTTCTCGCATAGATTCTTAATAACACATCTATGGAAAAAAACAGTAAAATAATATCTTATTTGTGTAAAATTAGATTGTCATGATGCCATGGAAAAATTTCCACTGAAGGGTACAGCGTTCTTGAACTCTACAATCCCTCACTCAAATGCAAATGCTACAACATATCATTCAGTTGATGCAAAGGTATGTTAATTTCAATCTGCATCTTCTTGTCTTGTATTATCTGGCTATTATTTAGGCTTGAATCAATATTTTTTTTATGATGTGTATATATATGTATAAATATTATTTTATTTTTTTAATAATCTAACACATCTTACATATGTTCCTTATATGTATATTGTTGCATGTTAAAAATTGTCAAACCAAAAAAATAAAATAAATATGTTTTATATTTAATTTTTTTAAATAGAAATTTTATCTATAAAGTATCTTTTATTTTGTGTTAAAATTTAATTCTAAACTTTATAGCGCAATAGATGATAATGTTATTAAAAAAAGATATAGAGTTTTTGTAAGGTATAATGTACTGATAAAATGCACATAATTTCCAGAACATAAAGTATGGTGATACTAAAACAGAAGATGTACGACTACGAACCGGAAGACGCGAGACAAATTTAAGCAGCGATGATGACATGCTAGATATCAATCATCACATGTCTCATCATTCGGATAACAATATGTTATCAGATTGTGTTCGCATTGACGATGCATCTTCCCATAGTAAGTTGTTTAGAAGTTATTTTATTAATGTTGCAAACGTATCACGCATTTGTTACTGAACGGGTACTACGTGAAGTATTTTTATTTATTTTTAGCAAATGTTATAAAGAAACATGCAGGAAATTTTACAATACTAAGCACGAGTCCATTTTTGTAACTCTGTTAAATCGAATTTAATAGTCTTATAACACCTCTATTGGTCCTATATACATCCTCTAGCTTGAAAAATATCATACATTATCACTTCCTGTTGAAGAAACTTGAGGAATGTCTGTTGATCTGCCCATCTCATCTGGTGACGTATATCCCTGAGTGATACCAGTTAGACAAATTGAACCAAATTTCTTAATATTCTCGGCATATCATAGTGACAAAATGTGTAAGTTAGCACAAATAATGCCAATATATTTCACTTATTAATAAAAATATATAAAGAGATAACAAATACAATTGTGGTATACAAATAGATATATCAGTCCTGTATGTTAATCAATCTGTTGTGTTTTCAAATAATCAAATATTATTTTTTTGATAGAGGCCTTATAGTTTTATTAAGAATAAGCTAGTTTCATATGCACAAGTCTACTATAATTTCTTTGTCTCTTCAGCAAAATATAATAATACATACATGCATTTGTTTTCTAATTAAGAATGATAATAAAATAAAATCTATATTTTTTAAATATTTTAATATTTTTTTTGTTTCGGAAAAAAAAATGTTGAATAATTCCATTATAATCTATCTCATTTATATATATATCTTTTCTATGCATGTAAAATAATATATAATAAAATAAAAAAGTGTGGAGCATTTATTTCATAGTCTTAAATTTCAATACAGAAATTTTTATATTGTTACACTTTTAACTATGACATATACATTTAATGTATAAATAAAGTGATATAAAAATATGCTAAAGTATTGCTCTCTTGTCTTACTATTTTAGAATTTGGTCAACTATTATAACTATTACTACTGAAACTATGGAAAACTATTTGCAATTCTCTTACATTTGCAATATTTAGAGCAATACTGTTCACGCCATCATTAAATATCTATATACAACAGATAAAAATATTGAAGATACGATTACGATTCTGAGAAATTCCATCACGCGATATATTTTATTTATTCTCATCATGAAATTTTCTAATTTATTTTATTAGTTTCAGTTGACTCCGATGACATACCCGGCATCGGACAGTATGATGATTTTCATACTATCGATTGGCAACGGGATATTGCGCGAGACCGGATGCGGCATCGTTATATCGTGAAGAAGAAACACGATTCCATCTGGGGTTTAATAAAGGGGGCTCACGATGCATGGTCTGGATGGCTGTGCGTCTTACTAGTTGGACTTTTTACGGGTGTGGCCGCTGGTGTTATAGATATTGGCGCTTCCTGGATGACAGATCTGAAATTCGGTATCTGTCCGCAAGCTTTCTGGTTAAATAAGGAGCAATGCTGTTGGAGTTATAACGAAACTACATTCGATGGCGGAAATTGTTCACAGGTTAGTTGTATGATTCCCCAGTGATAGTGGTAAATTTTTTCTTTGATTAATGTATACAGCGTAATATTTTTGCAGTGGTGCACGTGGCCCGAGCTATTCAATCAATCAAAAGATGGTGCAGGACCTTATACAATTTCATACTTATTTTATACAGCATGGGCCCTTCTATTTGCGGCACTTTCCGCATCTTTAGTACGAATGTTTGCACCATATGCTTGTGGTTCTGGAATACCTGAGGTAAACCTATTCTCAATTTTTTTTTTTTTAGATTTTTTCTAAATAATAATTATTTTTCAGATAAAAACGATTTTGAGTGGCTTTATTATCCGTGGATATTTGGGTAAATGGACACTGATTATTAAATCAGTAGGTCTGATTCTTTCTGTATCGGCGGGCTTAAGCTTGGGAAAAGAAGGTCCTATGGTGCACATTGCATGCTGTATAGGAAATATATTTTCTTATCTATTTCCAAAATATGGTAGGAATGAAGCGAAGAAGAGAGAAATTTTATCTGCCGCAGCTGCAGCAGGAGTTTCCGTTGCTTTTGGAGCTCCGATTGGCGGCGTACTATTTAGCTTAGAAGAGGTATTATCTGAAAAATTAAGCATATAAATCTATTTCAAGATGGTCTCAACCTTCTACTAAGACTAAAGATTTTGGCAAGATTCTATAATTGTATTACTCTACATCTTTAAATTATATTACGTGTAACGAAATTAGGCATATGTGTATATTTGTTTCAGGTCAGCTATTATTTTCCACTAAAGACTTTATGGCGATCGTTCTTCTGTGCTTTAATAGCTGCTTTTGTACTACGTTCCATAAATCCATTTGGAAATGAACATTCAGTATTGTTTTACGTAGAATATAATAAACCTTGGATATTTTTTGAATTAATTCCTTTTGTCATACTTGGTATAATTGGGGTAAGTAAATTTTTTTACACAATTATTGCCAACTATCGAATTTGTAAAAGACAGCACATATTTAAAAATAAATTTTCTTAATAGGGTATAATAGCAACATTATTTATCAAGGCAAATTTATTTTGGTGCCGTTATCGTAAAACTTCAAAATTAGGACAATATCCTGTAACTGAAGTGTTGATCGTAACAGTTGTAACGGCAGTAATCGGATATCCTAATCCATATACGAGGATGAGTACCAGTCAACTCATTTATTTATTGTTTAGCCAATGCGGGGTATCGAACGCGGATATGTTATGGTTAGTAATTATGAAGAAATATGTAACATTTTAATTGTTAATTTGCATTATAATTGTTAATTAATTAATAGATTAATGCTTATCTATGTATTTTCCGGTGTAGTATAAGCGAGTATATACATGACGAATGTTGAGTATATAAATTATTGAAGAAGTTCTCTGTCCTAATAGTGACTACAATAGAAATTTCACCGCTGTGAAATCCGCAATCGAGATTGCCGCAGCTGGCCCTGGAGTCTACAAAGCTATATGGCTACTTGTACTGGCACTGATACTGAAACTCATTATGACGATATTCACGTTTGGCATGAAAGTACCATGCGGTTTATTTATTCCGTCCTTATGTCTCGGGGCAATAATGGGTCGTATTGTGGGTATAGGAATGGAGCAGCTTGCATACAATTATCCTCACATATGGATGTTTAGCGAGGAATGTTCCATGGGTGTCGATTGTATTACACCTGGGTTATATGCGATGGTCGGGGCTGCCGCTGTTCTTGGAGGTGTGACCAGAATGACGGTTTCTTTAGTCGTCATTATGTTTGAATTAACCGGCGGCGTGCGGTACATTGTACCTTTAATGGCCGCGGCCATGGCGAGTAAATGGGTTGGCGATGCACTCGGAAAACAAGGCATTTATGATGCTCATATCGGTTTAAACGGATACCCATTTCTGGATAGCAAAGATGAATTTCAACATACAACTTTGGCGGCAGATGTTATGCAACCCAAGTAAACTAAATCATACAAAAGCACTTCTATATATTTCATATATATACGCGTGTGCGTACATGTGTGTGTGTGTGTGTGTATTTATTTATTTATTTATTTTATTTACAGACGAAACGAAGCTCTTCATGTCCTTACTCAAGACTCAATGACAGTTGAAGATGTGGAGAACTTGCTTAAAGAAACTGAGCATAACGGCTTTCCCGTAATAGTTTCTAAGGAATCTCAATATCTCGTTGGTTTCGTTTTACGACGAGATCTCAATCTTGCTATTGCTAATGCCAAAAGGATGATTGAGGACATCAGCAGGCAGTCGTTAGTTATTTTTACTAACGGAAATAATGTCCAAAGCCATTCGCCTCCGCCTTTAAAGTTAAAAAAAATCTTAGACATGGCCCCTATCACTATCACAGACCAAACTCCTATGGAAACTGTAGTTGATATGTTTAGAAAATTAGGATTACGCCAAACTCTTGTTACACATAACGGGTACGTATATATAAATAATTTATATATTAACATAGCTGTGTGCTAATTTTTTCTCAAACTAATATCGAGATATCACTTTTGCGCAGGCGACTTCTAGGTGTAATAACAAAAAAAGATGTTTTGAGGCATGTGAAGCAGCTTGACAATGAAGATCCAAATTCTGTTTTATTTAATTAAACAGTATGCTACGACAGCCAACTTAAAATTATCAATTTAATTCATAACAATAGCAGTATAAAAACGAACAACACATATATATCTATATACAGAGTGACCCGCAATGACCGCGCACTAAGTACATGGCATTATTCCTCACCAAAAACTGAGACGAAAAGTCCTGAGCCATTTTTTTTTTATAAAGCTTAATAAAGGAGTTATTATTGAGTAAAGTCTGACCAATCAGCGCCGATCTTTAGCCGAGCGCACATCAGTGAGCCGCGCGCCGTGAAGTGTGCACCGCCGTGTGCATACTACTAGGCGCGCGGCTCACCGACATGCGCCCGGCTAAAAGTCGGCGCTGATTGGCCAGACTTTACTCAATAATAACACTGGAATAACGCTATGTACTTAGTGGACGGTCATTGCGGGTCACCCTGTATATACATACAGAGAGATAATTTATATTAATTTAATTAAAATGTATTTTATATATATATCTATTCTGTCAATATTTACCTGCACATTTAAATCATTAAAACGTTGTATGTAATTAGAGAGAGGGAAATAAGCTTGCAATAGGCTACTAAATTTGTATATTCATCTTTGTTTGAAATAGAAAGTTTAAGATTTTATATCCGTGTATTTCGATCAGCGGATTTTATTTTTCATATTGTAATCAATAATAAATCATTATATTGACAATTCGTTATACAAATATATATAATTTACTATGTATGCACTTTTCTTGTAAATTACAATACATTAAAAGTATAGGACATGTATAAATAGTATATATATATATATATTAAATATTGTTATATCATATACAATTTTCTGAATGGCATGAAATTACATTAATATACGTTATATGGAATATTCTTATAATATTAAGTTAATGATAAATATTAAATTATTTTATTTTACATAATTGTTGCCACATCCTGTGACATACGCTATCGAACAATTAAGTTTTGTGACTCGCTTCGCATTTCTGAACTGTTTGATCCGTTTGTGCTGCTATTTTAGAAGGTTATTCACAACTCAATACTTAACATGTGATGCAAGTTTTAAATTATTTGGTTCAATAATCAGTTAATGAGATATAGTCACGCGAAGTTGTGTTACAAAATTTTGTTTAAAAATCAGTGTAATGGAAGGGAACGACAATGCGCCAACATTAAATTCTGCGTTAAATTAGAGAAGTCCTCAATAGAAACGTTACAAATGAATTCAAGCCTATGGAGAGTCAGCTATGTATAAAAGTAAGTAGTTTCGAAGATACAGATGACATAAAAAATAACGTGAATCAAATTTTGAAAGGATTTGCTTTAGAGGACTATCAGAACTGCTTTGAGTAATGGCGGAGATGTTGAACTAAGTATGTCGAGTTAGGTGGTGACTACATTGGAACGTTTTAACTGTCTAAGATTTGTACGATTAAAAATAAATTTTTTATATGAAAGTCTCGAAACTTAATTGTTCCACAGTGTACTTCTCATCCCTATATATACATAGATTTTATAATTAAATTTATATATTTGTTACTATACTTAAGGACTTTAATTTATTGTTTTGTCCTTTTGATTTTTGTCTTTTCGCGAGATATATATAAAATTACAAATGGTAATCATCTTATATATATTTAATTTATTTGGAAGCACATACAATATATATATATATAATTATATTAATTTAATACAAATTAAAAATTTTACTAAATTAAAATATTACAAACGTTTTCTTACATATTAAACATAATTGATTAACTTCACATGTAAAATCACTTAAAATACTAAACGTAAAAAAATATTTAAAATCATTTCTAAATTTCATACATAGTAAATATTCGTTAACAGTTCAATGCATAAATATATATATGAAGATATATATGAAGATATATATATGCACGCGCGGACGCGCACACATACAAACTATTTAAATTACATTGTCAACTAATCTTACGTTTCTTTTTCGAAAGAAAAAAAAAAGTTTTATGTCATGATTTAAAATAATTGTTTCTAAACCATCACATAAAATAAGTATTTGTTGACAATGCAACAAACAATTATATGTATGCATAAATATATGTGTATGTATGTGTATATATATACATATATATATATATATATATATATAACGAATATTCATATATATAACGAATCATATACCAAAACATATATATAACGAATACATATACTGAAGCATACATATAATGAATATTCTTTATATCGGTATTATTAGCCCCTTGAGAAGATCAAAACGGTTTCTATCTGGTTGTACACTCATATTTACATTAATTCCACCTATGCATACACGGACTCTCAAAAATCCAAGGTCATCGATATCTATTATTGTAGCTTTCTGGTAATTTCCATTTGGTTCTACTACACTAACACTCGCATTTCTACAAAGATATATAAAATATAAATATTATGAGAATATTATTATATAGGAATAAAATATTATAGGAATAAAATATATATATTATTATATAGGAATATAATATTAATATAGGAATAAATTAAATCCAAAATTACTTACTTATGCAACCAATATTTGTAATAAAGATCGTAGAAAAGTTGTATATTGTCACTTTCTACATTATCTAACAGAATTTCCAATTTATTAAATACAAGCGCCAAGTATCTTTCATAAGTGAGCTTTCCCAAATTTGTCTTATATTTTTGATTATATAGTGAAATCACCTTATTAATACATGTTGTAGGCTTGCTATTGAAGAGATTTATACCAGCACCTGAAATACATATTTTTATGTTTATTTTAAATAAAAAAAATTATTATATTAAAATTTATACTTGTATTATGACAATTATATACCAATATTGCAAACATAATTTGATCCATCCATACGTGTATGCACTATCAAGCCACCAATCTTAGTCGATTTACCGACATATATGTCGTTAGGCCATTTTATTCTTAGATTAATGTTCTATAATATATGAATTAATTGCATCAATAGTTATTATATAGTTATTATATAGTAATAATTTCAATATTTTTCAAGTATTTTAAAATAATATACCTAAAAATCTAGGATGTTCGTAAATTAAAGTCGCATAGTAAAATGACAAAAAAATGAAAAAGAAATACCTTGTATTCTGGAATAGATCTTACAGCCGATACCATTGCTACAGCGACAATATGCTGTAGAATCGGTATTTGCTTACCGAGAATCGACTTTATAGGAATGTGAATTTGTAAAGTAAACATGGCACAACCAATCGGACTAAGCCATATGTTGTTAATTCGCCCTAAAAATAACTCTTGTTATAATTTTTCCGTTTGCATACAAATGAAAAATGAAATACCTCGTCCTTGTGTTTGTTGTCGTGGAATAACCGCCAATCCGTGTATCATACGGTTTTGCATCACATCCATAGAGGATGTTAAGATATCTGAGTATATTACTAATTGACCTAGTTTTTTTGTCTGGAGCATCTGGAGAAATAGTTTTTCATAAAATTTAATCTGAAGTGCAAAAACCGAAAAATATCTCCTTTTCTTAATCTTATTTAATTATATGCTACAAATAGTATAATCATATAAAAATGCATGAAAGGGATCTTTTTTAAATGTGCACAATTACTATTAAGATATAGAAAGATTAGCATTAATTGTTTCAAGTATTGAAAAAAAAAAAAAATACCTCATAGTAATGCACAGGTGAGAAATTAATTGGATGAACTTTATTATTCATTATAATAGGTAAGAAATCCTCTGATGCAGTTTCTGGTATTTCTTCACTTGTGTAAAACTGGATCTTTAAATCTGACATTTGTAATGTGTTATTCTCTGTCTGGAGGTCCTCCAGGTTTTCAAGCAGCTCTGTTTTCAACTACAAATGCAACAACAACATTCTTTGTAAGTTTATGACAAATTGTAACCTTAAATTGTTAATTGTGTAATGTTGATAATGTTTGATTAAGATTATTATTGCTACGAAAACCGTTTATTATTAAGTTTACTCACATTTTCAGTTTGGCTTACAAGATAAGCTGGAGTATATACTATGGGCACTTCAGTACCACGATTTATCTCCATTTCTAGGTGCGTACTCAACAGATCACTGATTATTTCCAAACGTACAGCATTGCTCTCTTTGAGCGCTTCAAATAAATCCTCTTTGTCTTCGTATTCCGCCGGATCTGCCTCCAAATGAATCTGGGAAAATACTATTTTACCTCCACTACTGACTAGAGTTGCGACTAATATACTTGGAGTTTGCCATGTTTCTTCTTCACCCAGTATTTTCACATCAAACAAATGTGAATTTCCATCATCATCTGTAACACTAGTCGACTGTGGGACTTTTGGTAAAAGTATCCTATAAAAATAATGTGTTAATTTAATATATCTATAATATTTTTTTCTGTCTAT